GAACAAAAAAAGCCCAAAAAATTTACCAGGGGAGAAAAAAAGCCCAACATTAATTTGTTTTTTTAATTATGCACAAAGCTACGCAAGGGTTATCTGTGCTCTGCCCACCACAGGTATCGAAACCCGGTGTCTAGCGTTGTAAGTCCGCAGACATACCGCTGTGCCACTGGGGGGCCCAACCATAAGTCCCTATTGTTTAAACAAATGGTACAAGACAGTGTCCCACCCCAGAATATCCCAAAAGCAAGGAAGCCACATGTGGAGAGAAAGAAGATAGCAAATGCCCCAACCTGGATGGAAAGAGGAATAGGTATCTCACGAAAATCCCCTAGATATAGGTGAAGCACCCAAGAAAGGAGGTGTATGGTAGACATTTCCTACAGGAGAGTCGATAAGGTAAGAAGCTGGAAAACTAGGTGGGAGATAAAATGGATAGGATTAACAGAGACTGCCCCCATACAGGTGACAGAGATTCCAGGTACATAGAACCAAGAAGAAAATCTGCCTGATGGTATACTTAGGAAAATTGAACCAAAGCCTGTGGAGGGCAAGGCATGCAACTACCCTCTCCCAAAGGAGACAAAAAATGCTCATAATGAAACATAATGTCTGTAGAAGGAGGGAAAATGTATACTGCGAAATGTCTAAAAAAAGCTGTGGTAGGCCTAGCAGATTACACAGTAGAGGCCTGGGAAGGCAAGCTATAATCAGATGGAGGAAAACTGACAAAATATAGGTCATTCTAAATGGGTTCAACAGTTGTAGGAGGAGGACAAGCAATATCGGGAGAAGGTAGGGTGGCCCCAGGCACCTCACAAACTAAATTATTTGCAAGAAGTATGTATTATTAAGAATTAGGAAAATAAAATAGACAATATAATGTAAACTTAAGTAAGTGTGTAATGAAATAAATACATGTATATGATGTTATGTGTTGAAGAAAACAAGATATTTAACTTAATTATCGATTTATCTGAAAGATGAACTACAGGTAAACAGAAAATAACACACTTGTTAACCCTAATCGAACGGTGCAGGATAAAGTATATCACTACGCTCTAATCTAAAAACCCTAACCTACCAATAATATGTACAAAATTTGATGAAGTTTGTGCAGACCCTGGCTGAAGGGGGTCCACACAAACAAAGTTAATATGAAGAAGGATAAAAGATGAATAATGACCACAATGAAATGGATATTATATTGCAAAATTAAGTGTGTATTGACAATAACATATGTATGAGATGCAATATTTTGAAGATAAACATTATAGTTAACCTAATTCACGATATACCAGTAAGATGAATTACAGTAATCTTAAATAACAAAGACTCATGTTAAGCCTAATCTAATGTTATAGGACAAAAAATACAACTAAGCTCTAATTTCAAACCTGAAAGAAACTATGAGTATTGACCAACCTAACTAAACTTGTTATTGAACCCAAATAACTACAGATAATAATATTAAAAGTAAAAATATTATACACCATATCAGTATAATACCTTATCTTTCCAAAGTTGGCAGACCATATTTTGAAATGTTTGGGCCTCCAAACTCGAGTTGAGGCCAGACAAAAGTCAGCTCATTGGACAAATAATCTCATGACGAAGTAAAGCTCATAATTACCCAGCTGAGGGCCACCACCTGAAGCCTGTGTAAATGTGCTGATATAAGATATAACCTCCAAAGTGGTAAATTAAAATTTGGAAGTAATATTCAAAATGAATAACCAATGACAACAATGTTGGCAGAAAGAAATAAAAAGTAGAAAAAAATTTGCAATGAAGTATTAAGTTCCATAACTGGGTAGAAATACAAAATAATTCCACTTCGGAATAAGTTACAAGAATAACTATTGTATAATAAATAGAAAACTTGAAGAGAGTGCATCTTTCTTATAGCAAAGCCACATCACGCTATCTGCTGTGTCCACCAAGGGGAATCGAACCCCTGATTTTAGCATTGTAAACCCAAAGACTTACTGCTGTCCCACTGGGGACTTGACGAGAGAAATTGATAAGAAGATACGAACAAAAAAAAACCTCAAGAGAGCACAAATTAAACATCTGAACACAAGTACTGCTAAACGAGAAGTGACAGTTAGGTAGAATAGCCTAGAGGGAGTCACATACGTCATGAGGGTGTATGGCACTACTATTGGTGAAGGTTTGTCGCATGAAAAAATCAGTTAAACCATATGAATTAAGGGGCGCGTAGAAGTGAAAGGCTTGTTACACGTGAAACAAAATTGCAAATAGATGGCAGCACTGAACAAGAATAGCTATGTACATGAGTGGGAAGTAAGGTACCTTGTCAAAAGTTTCAAGTTCATTATTTTAATTTATTTTGTTAATGTTACTTTCATCTCCCTCTCATTAGTTATGCCTCCATTTTTCCATAGTGCTTTTAAGTATATGATCAAGAAATAATAGCAAACCTCCAAGTGGGCCACTTCAAAAAAGAGTTTAAAATGTTCCTTTTTTTAAATAAAAATACAGAAGAAATTGTGGTTTTACAAATCAAAATATAGAATTAAATATATATAAATAACTTATAATTTAATAATAAACCTGAATTTATATATCAATATGCTAAACTTTCATGCAGAAATCCATTACTTTGTGTGATCACAGAGATTTTACCAAGCAAGTTCTGATAATGAAATCTGAATTATTTGTCCACATCAAAAATCCTGCAATATCAGTCAGTACTAAATGTATTGTGGCAATGTTTATGGTTAAAAAAAGGTTTTATGGTCTGTTTTGAGTAAAAAACAAAGGAAATAAAAGATGAGAAAGTTTCTGCAGGTTTTAAACGTTTCACTTGGATGCCTATAAGTCCATGGTCAGTGTGAATGCAGTATTTTCCATTTTGTCAAATTTTAGTATTAATTCATTCCTCCCAGCTTCACATCATATGGAAAAACACAATTTTAACTTTTATTAATTACAGTTATTCATTCAAATTCGATGACAAGGAAACCACTTTGAAACTAATAATGTTTGGAGATGGCTTGAATGGGTGATCAAGAAAAACTTTAATATAAGTTTAACAGAGTAATAACACTACACTTAGAATCAGCGAAAACATTTATGCCATCAACAGGATGTGGAATTTATCAGCTTATGTTTGTATCCAACAGTGTTTACAACAAGAATTCTCCAGAATAATAAGACCGCACTTTGAATTTGTCCAAACGTTTATTATATGATTCAGTGCTGACACATTAAATATTGCAATTCTTTGAATATTGGTAATCCTTCTGGGATTTTAGGAACTTATAAGTGTACTGTATAAGTATACAGACATTTGTAAAGTATTGTATCTTTCTATAATGTTATGAATAATTCTTTTTTTTTAAGTTGTCAAGCTTTTAATGTTGCATAATTTGCTTTTACTTTATCTTAATATAGACAATTAGAAGAAGAATATAAGTTCAGTCAGCATAATTGTATATGCCTACAAAGTACAAATCTCTAAGTATGTACAATATCAGTATTTTAGTATTTTGTAAAATATAGTGATATTTTGGCAACCATACATTACATATTATATATACACATTGTTATTATTTCACAAATGCTTAAATTTTAGTTATTTTTCTTAGAAGAAGAAGAAGAAGAAATAAGAGATACTTCAAAAAACAAAGATTTCAAGTATTTACGGTGGTTACAAGACTGAGCTCGAGTGACACATGTGCTAAGCCTCGTTTATTATTCCAAGTAGAGGGTGAAGAGCTATTAATTTTTGTATGCTTCAAAAATATATATGTATTAGAAAAGAAAAAATTCAACAACTTATGATATTAGTGCACACAAAATCCCTGTAATTTATTTGGATTTCTAAGCAAGCTCTGTATGAGTTTTAAAAAATCTCATTTCTCTTCAGAGCAGCAACTCAGTCATCACACTTCAACAGTTTCAGCAAAATTACAATTTTCTCCTTCAAGCTAGTTACAAACAGCTATAAGAATTACATACACAAGAAACTGCTCTTTCTATTGATGATAAACTCTTAGTCAAAAAAGTAATTGGGACTAGACAAGAGGTTTTGAAAGAATGGAGTAGTGGAAGGAGCCAAACTACTAGATTGGCTAAATATATTGATATCTCAGCAAATCAAATAGGTATGGCTTTCTTATTTGTCATTATAGCTTGTCAATATCTCCAGTTTGATTTACTAATTCGTTAATCACTGTCCACATCATATGGTAGGTGTGATAAATTATAAACAGAGGCATAAGATAATAAGAAGTGCTATGTGACACACAAAAAGTAATATATAGCAATTTTGTTTCTTTATATTTCCCTTTAAACCAAGAAATTAAAACATATATAATATCAAAATTTGAATTATAAACTATGATTTGATGTCAATTCCATCGATACAAGTAACAGTAAAGTTATTTACTAAAATTTTGAAAGTAACTCTCTAAAATGTTATGACATGCACTCTTTGACCTGCCTGCAGTGAAAGGGTTAAACATATTGTAACTTACTTTGTAAGCTGTGTGTCTGAGGCACCTTGGAACTGTGAAAAATCTGCAAAGTCTCCATTGGCTAATCAAAGAAAAAAACAATAAACATTACTGAGAAACATATATATATATATATACACAAATTTTGTACATTTTGCTTTATGATATTTGTGCTTCAGGGAAACAACTATACAGGAATGACTTGTAGCTTCAGATATGTTTCCAAAATATTTTGCTGTCTTACCTGCCCTGTGTCACTGATGAGGAAAGAAAAGTGATGAGACAGGTCATACAAGAAAAATCAAAGCCAAGGACTTAATAAGACTGATACATGTAAGCAAATAGGCTCTGCTTCAATAGTGACAAGATAGGGTTAAAAACAGAGGCTAGACATACAACTGTAACAGAAGCTATTAGAAAGATGTAATGGTGACCTTGTTATGATAGAGAACTTATGTTTTGTTGGAAGGCTGTTTCTCTGATGTTTCCAAAGTTTAAGAAAATGGAAGGACCACAAGTTCATAAAGTAGGTATTCTAAAAACAGGATTGATGATCATAAACACATAACCTGCACAAATAAAATACATAACTACATTGAACAGACACAATCATAGGGCAATAACGACTGAGAAAACTGTAGGACAGTTGAGAAAAATAAACACCAAAGAACTAGGGAAAGTAAAAGGATGCTTTCTTCATCAAAATTTAAAACTCTCAAATTAAGATTGACTGGGAGTCAAAGTTAGCACTAAAGCTTTAACGGTCAACAAACACAAACACTGTAGCTCAAAAAGGATCACTCTTCATCTTGGATCAGCAGAGTCCATTCAAATTAGTTTCACTTGTCTTCAAGACCAGAGCATGCTTTCAGGCTTTGAATAATATAACAGTCCTAATTCATTTTTACCCTGTTTAGAAATAATACAACAGCAGTGATGAAAAATTAAGAAACAATATGTTTTAAAAAATACATTTATCAATTAATTGATATTCAATTTACAACTTGTATAACTGACTTATCAACAGAAAATGAACTCTGATAAATCATTCTACATTCAACATGGTTAAATTGGAACTGAGATACAGTTTACAATAAAGAATTCTAAGTATAAAGTTAATATTAGTGGGAATGATGGCTAACTTGCTTTTCTAGGGTCAAGTACAACTGGTTACTTAGTTACAATAAAGACTAATCTCCTAATTAGTTTCTGAGTGTCAAGTATATGGTCATCTAGATAAAGTAAGGAAAGTGGCCTTCTAATTGATTTATTAATTTCAAATGTACCTGGTTTCTCAATTAAAGCAGGCAGAAGAATCTTATGATTAGTTTCCTAGTGTTAATTCCACATGGTCACTCAGTTACAGTGAACAAACTAATCTTCAGATAATGTTTTAGTATCATATCTACCAGATCACATAATTACAATATAGTTTCCTAGTGTAAGTCTACCTATCACCTATTTATATTGAGAAGACTAAATTTCTGATAATTTTGCAACTATAAAATCTAGAAAACTATCTAGTGCCAGTGAATAATCATCTGGTTTCTTTGTGACAAATCTACTTGACACATTAATAGTTAGACAAACCAAAGACAAACCTTCTAATTCTTCCTATTGTCAAGGCTTCCTGGTCAGTACATTACCTTAAAAACTGATCTTCTGTTAGGATATTAGAGAAAAAAAATCTAGTGTCTTAAGTTCAACAGAACTTGTGATTCACTTACAGCAAAGACTAATCTCACCACCAGATTCCTATTATCAAGCTTGCCTGGTCACCAAGATACAGTAAATAAACACTGAACTTCTCAGTAGATTCCTGTTATCACATTTACCTAATCATCCAGTTACAGTAACCAATGACTTTCTGATTATCACATCCACCTGATCACCAAGTTACGGGGGCAGTGTTTATTGTAACTTGGTGACACACGTAGATGTGACAATAATAAACTAACATCTGACAGTAGGAATCTAATCAGAAGGGCAGTGTTTATTCTGATTAGGTTCCTATTCTCACGACTATGTAGGTCACCAGGTTACAGTAAACACCAACTTTTTGATTAGATTCTAAATATCAAGTTTACCTGGTCATCAACCTTCTAATTGGATTTCTATTCTAACATCTACCAAGTCACCTTACAATAAACACTGACCTTCTGTTTAAGATTCCTATTGTCAGAATTACTTGGTCATTAAGCTCCAGAATATATTGACCTTCTGATTGTACTTGTATTTTCAAGCTTACTTGATCACCAAATTACAGTAAACACTGACTATTTAATTAGAATCATACAGTCAAATTTATGTGGTCACTGACCTTCTGATCAAATTCCTTTGTCAAGTCTAGGTGGTAATCAAGTCACAGTAAACACTGACTTTCCGATTGGTTTCCAACTGTTATGTCCACCTGATCAATAATACTGTATGAAATGTCAGAGAGAACTGTTAGCAATTTGTGAAAGAAAGGATGTGACAAGTGGGCATGGCAAGTGGGGTCTGATTTTCTATTTTGTAGCTCTGTAACCACATAAGATTGAAGGCTATATAAATTATGCTTTGCCTGAGTAATAAAAATATTATAATGAATAAATTATGTTAAATTCTGTACTTTTCAGAGGGGTGGTAAATACATCACAGTAGAGAGGGGTACCTAGAGAGCAAATATCACAATTCTCATAATCGGGCAAGGTTGAGGATTTTTTTAAATACTTCCTCATAAAATTAAGAACTTAAAATTATAAAATATTAAAATGTGATTTATTAACTATGTTTTTAAGCCAAGTTTATTTGTATATCATGACAATAAAGTGGTTAATTAAGTTTTGAATGTAACTCCCTAAAAGTCATGACATGCACGCTTTGACCTGCCTGTAGTGAGAGGGTAAATAAAACAGTTAAAAAATCCTAAAAAAAATAGAGGTGAAGATTTAGACCCCCTAGATCCACATCTGCTTTTTTTTACATTAAATAATATTGATGTTAATTTTTGAAGAAAAAAAAAAGTTAGGGCCTGCTTCCTTGAACCCCTCAATTAGATTTGCATCTGATCATACAACATGAAAGAAAACAGTTATGGAATTATTTAACAACAACCAAACATAAAGGCAATATTTCAATTACTAGAATAGTCGGAATTAATGAAAGCAGTAAATAACAGGGAACCATAAGTTTGTTTAGTCGATTATTTTTGACACAATCAGTTTCATTGTAATTTCAATTAATTGGTTGTTGGAAAAATTGAAGAGAATAAAAAGTGGAACAACTAATTTTGCTTAGTTGATAATTTTCATGACACTAATCAATTAACTACATATATGATTAACTGATTAGTTTATGAGACACTAGATGATGTAATCTCTGCTCAAAGGTAATCTAATATATCAATTAATTGATTAAATCACCCAGCTCTAATTATGACAACAAAGACTCATTGAGTAACAGGAATTTACTTATTATGATCGGACACTATTATTTGAATGTTTGATTTGATTTACACAATAGAGGAATTTAGTATCAACCAAAGCACAACTCTCTTCCCTTCAATTATGGAGTCCCATCAAAGTATGTTTGTCTATGTGTAGTCCACATAGCATAGAACCATCCCCAATTCTCAACCACTGACCACAGGGAGATGACCATTCGGAAGCAGCCAATTTTTTTTTAGTTTATTATTATAAGTTATATCAAAGAGACAAACCTCCTGACTCGTTTTCCGGTGTCAAATCAACCAAGTCACCTAGTAGATCTTGGTTTGTGGATTTACTTTTCTGTTCTTTTGCAATGCTATCAATTGATAAAGATTCTTGGAAGGAGTGATCTATTAAAGATGTTTTTTTGTCGTCATATTCTTGATCCTACAAAATGGTAGCATCAAAATGCAAAACATAAGTTACTATGCCATAACAAAAAATCTACTATATTGGTGAAGATACAAAAAAAAATAAAAATAATAATGATCATGTTAATTAATCAATGTCATTCCTAAATTATTATTTTGCAAGTTATATGTTCATAATTCTTTATCAATAAAGCTACAAATGATAGGAATATGTATTTTAGTATATAGTAACCCTTTCTAGCCTGGCATCTCATATATCGTATTACAGGAGTAAATGACATCATGAAGTTCAAAAAAAAATGTTGTCTGATCTCTCTCCTCTCATCATCTACATAATAAAATTCTAATTGAAATATTCAGAATTTTTATTTTTATTTGAGGAGTAAAAATATTTAAACTTCCTGCATGCATACACAAAATTTGATAAAATTCAAAACAAAGCTACAAATATATGGTTTTTGCACACATTTGTTATTTACTTTAACCCTTTCACAGTGGGTTCCCCTTTAAACACTTTTCTGCACAATTCAATGTATTACATTCAAAATTTAATTAAATTCTGTGTTACTATCAATGTATGTGAATTAAATTAGGATCATAATATATATTATGATGTTATCTAAATTTTAAGTCCTTTATTTTAAAAAAACCTTTAAAAAACTAGTTAAAACTTCAAATGTATTGTCATGTGACCAACGTGCTATGAAAATTCTCTAGTTCTCAGTTCTGTAGATGTACATCTAAACTATAAGATGCTTACATAACCTTTTGACTTGTTTATTTCAAGGTTCTCTGAATGAATGTAGTTGAAATAAGTAATAAATATTTGCAACCACTGACAGCTGCCACACCCACCTTCAACAGATTTGTTTGAGCTTTATAGCCTATACGTATATGTTACATACCTATGTGTACAATCATTAGAAAGAGATCATTTTAAATATAATCTAACAACAGTTATTTTGAAATTGGTGCACAGTTGTCATGGATTACATGTATCTGACTTCTAATATTGTTGACTGTTTGATCGACTATAGAACTTACACTTGTTTTTTACCTCAACA